TCCTGGTTAGCCCCCCTGGCAACTATCATATAGAATTACCACTGTGACCAAGAAGCTGGAGCTTCAGTCAAACAGGAAAGGCTGGCACTCGCCATCTCTGGGAACCGATGAGGTCAGAGAAGCCAGGTGCTTCAAGCAGGTTTGGGCCATGGATGGATCCACTCCTCCACTAAACATACCACAGTTACCTCATACTTCAGGAATACACAGCCTTGAAGTTTTATGAGGGTTCTTCTGTTCTTAATATCAGTGTGCTTATCTGTCCACAGGAGTAATATACAGACAGTGGGAAGCTACAACCATGTGCAGAAATTATCATGTCCTAAAATACCAGGAAAATAAGGTTAAATGGAAGGCTTGACTTTCTAGAGTCACTGTCCCTAGGACTCTGGCTCAGGGAGGTCTGTACCCAGTCCTCTTTGAAGCATATGATGAGCTACACAGTTTTGATCAAAGCCCTCTGCCTCATCAGACCTCTACCTCTTTATTTTTAAAAGAAAGATAGGATGAATGTGGTGGCAGTGCCTGTCATCCCAGCACTTAGGAGATAGAGGCAGAAGAATCTCCACAAGTCACAAGTTTCAAACCGGCCTGATCTATATAGTGAGTTCCAGCCTAGCCAGGACTACACAGCAAGACCTTGTGTATGGACCCCATCCCATCGCCACTGCCCTCCCCCCCCAAAAAAAAACAATTATTTTTTAATAAAAATGCTTTTGTTGTAATGAACTCACAAATTTAAACACTACACAGATTAAGGTGGGCACTCAAATACTTTAGGGGCAGTGAACCCTACTTCAGGGCACATTGCCAGGTTAAACAAAATTGGTGAATTACTGCAATGACTTCTACCATGGAGCGAAGAGCAAGCCAGTAAAAATGCAAAGACACTTCTGAAACAAAAGGAGAAATGGCCGAAAAGATACCACACATTCAAACATCAACCACATTTGGTCACAAAGTGTCCTGTATGGTGGGGTTGATCTGGGCCACCATGTTTGGGGGAAAACTTATCTGCAATATAAGAAGATGAAGATTCTCTGTCCTCTATTATCCAGTTAGACTGCAAGGAAAAAAAGCAATTCCTAGTCAAGAAAGATCTGTCTACCCTGGTCCTTCAAGTTTAGGGTTACTTCCATCTGCTCATGAAATGATTAGGGATCAGGGACAGATTGTGTGCTCTTAAAGGCAGGAGGTCTGCCTAGGGCAGAGGACAGAACATGGCCATGGAGCTGGGTTTCCACTCAGCCTGCCCCAGCCCTCTATTCCTCAACCTCTTTCTACGGTCTCTCACTCTTCCTGAAGCACCCCCAGAATGTTCCTGTCTAGACAGATCCATTCATCCCTTCAGACACAGGGCCTAAGTGTCTAATGTGCTAGTCTCCCTGGAAGCCAAGACCACTAGTCACCTGAGCTCACAGTGTCCCATGAGGACAAAAATTAAACTTTTTATCAGTGCTGTGTGTTTAGTCCTTGGGACAATTATAAAGTCCTTAAGAGAAGTAGACTTCAGTCATTTCATGCTCCCAGCACAATACATGTGCAGAGGTGATTCAGTTGACATTTACTGCATCAAATCTCTCCATCAGGCAAAGAACAAGAGCGCCCCATCTTCCTTCCTGAAGACCCTTGGATTTAAGGTCATCTACCTTTATGCAAATCTGACCCAGACTTACATGTGCAAATATGCCACATAGTCATGCATGCACACAGGTAGATAAATAAAAAATGGAAAGAAAGAGAATGCACTTTTAGCTCGGAAGAAAGGCGACCTGACACAGAGCAGTGTGGTCAGAGGGCACTGTGCTGCTTAATTTCCTAGGCTTCATGTTCATATCATACACGATTCAGACAGTAAGAATCAAGTCAGACTTTATCCTCTGGCATAATACCTGGAATTGGGCTGGCAGATTAGAAAGAACTTAGATGTGTATCTTATACTGCACATAATAAATAAAGGGAACAAGTACCATAGGCTAATTTTAAAATGAAAACAGAGTAAGTTATTTTTATAACTGTGGAATGGGACATTTCCCTTAGCCTGAGAAGCAGGTCAGAAGTTATTGCTTTGTAAAAGCTAGGTTTGGGGAGATGGGTAGGTTGGCAAAGTTGGCACAAAGTTGGGTAAGTTAACACAAGCATGTGGACCAGAGTTTGCTCCCCAAGACCTCACGTGAAAAGCTAGGTGTGGTGGTGGCACACATTCATAATCTCAGCACTGAGGAGGCAGAGGCAGGTTCACTGGCCAACCAGCCTGGCTTAATTAGGCAAGGTCCAGGCCAGTGAGACACCCCACCTCAAAAAACCAAGGTGGATAGTTCCTGAGGAACAATGCCTGAAGTTGACCTGTGGTCTCTGCACCCACATATGAACATGTGCACACAGACTTACACGTGTAAAACAAAGAAATACACATGAATAATCAACAGGTAAACATGCCAAATGGCAGAACTAATCTTTAGGAGAACACAGAAATTGGAACAATGAAATATTTGTTGACAGTGAAATTAGACAACTAAAATGTGGAGCTTGTTCCCTAGTAGTGCAGAATGACTGACAGACCCCGACATGGGCACAGTCATCCAGAAGGAGAGTCAGCAGCTGCAGTCAAAATCCCTGTTCTGTACATTCTTACCATGTGGGAACTCCACTGGGAATTCACCTTAAGAAAGTAGCTATGTACGTCTCCATATAGACTTTGTGTTAATGATAACCAAATAGTGACAAACATGTACCTGCCCTGCAGTGATGAGTTCAACAAAATATAGCAGATCCATACTGTGAAGGCCAGTCCAGTATAAAAAGAATACACAGGAACCATGGAACTGCTGACCGTGAAAAACATGCCAATGACCTACTGCCAAGTGAACATAAAACTACATTTACAACACTTATTAAAAACAGCATTGGGGCCGGGCATGGTGGTGCATGCCTTTAATTCCAGCACTCGGGAGGCAGAGGCAGGCGGATCTCTGTGAGTTCAAGGCCAGCCTGGTCTACATAGTGAGTTCCAGGACAGCTGGGGCTACAGGGAGACCCTGTCTCAAAAAGGCCAAAAAAAAAGCATTGGAAAATTCCATTTTTATTTGTGTGTATGTGTGTCACAAACACATGTGTCCACAGCATGCACGTGAAGGTCAGGGGACAACTTGTGGAAGTCAGTTCTCTCCTTCCACCATGTAGGTTCCAAGAATCAAACTTAGGTCATCAGGCTTGCAGGACAAGAACCATTAATTCCACTGAGCCATTCATTCCATTTTATAAATGTGTCTGTAGATTTAAGGGCAGTCTGTGGGCAGTGATTGCCTTTGGAGAGTGAGCCACATGGGGATTATGTTGTATTTTATATTTCTGTGTTGTATCAACTTAATACCCTTTTTATAAGCTATGATTTCTGACAAAACTATGGATGTCTAATCCTTAGCAGATTTTGCTAATCAGAACTGTTTATCCAGGCTCATGATCAGTCCACAACCTCGTTCCCTACCGTCACCCAGGAAGCCTTGTCTGGAAACACACCCTCCAGGCTCTGTGCACACAACCTGGAGAAACCCAAGCCCAGCTGCTGCTCCACAGCCCTGCAAGGTAAGGAAAGACCAGAGAGTCCTCACCTGTGTCCAGGTGGCCCCCAGCCAGCTGTGACAATATAGATGTATCACCCCGCTACAGCAGGACCCACAGCACTAGGAGGACAAGGACAGCTTTACCAGGTGAGACTATGTCCTTAAAACAAAATCTAGGTAATCCTGCCTGTTTCCTGTTCTGGAATGTTCCTCCCTGTGGCTTTATTTTCATATCAGAATATACTCAGGTTCAATTGCTTTCATGACTTCAGGAAATGGGCCCAGTCCTCCGGTTCCCATCAGGAGAGAACACAGCTGTGTCAGAAGAGCAGTCCTCCACCTCCACTCCCGTTCTCACTACTACAGATTTCCACAGACGTCCATAGCCTCACCACTTAGCACACAGCTGCCTCCTACACTGACCCTGTGCAGTGAGGAAGCATGGGGGGACATTCTACCCCTGTCCAAGTGCTCACCCAGCACAGTGACAGCTACAAATCATACCCACACACATGGATGCCAAAGGTTGCAAAAATAAACATGAGCAAGAGGCACAGCAGTTACAGGCAGCATGCAGCCCCGGAATGACACTATATGAGGGGGGCAGTGCCATAACGGGCACTCTGGTTAAAATGACAAACTGGACTAGGATGCCAGTAATGGACTGAGCATAAATGAGTGGATATTAAATAAACCAAGCATAAATGAGTGGATATTAAATAAACCAAGGCTGATAACTGCACCACTGTGACTCACAGTCACACTTTTATTTCTAGAAAATAAACACTGATGTTCTTAGGGACAAATGGGTAAAAACTGTGCATGTGTGTGAGTATGCACGTATACTTCAAATCATGTACCTGTGTGTGAAGGAGTAGACACGCCTGGGACATGCACATGTGTATTTATGTAGACTGGAGAGATGAATGTAGGAACCATTTGATTCCCCTAGGTTAGAGGTCTGGTCACCAGAGGCCCTTAGCTTAGTTCACAGAATTACATCATTTCCTGTTGTTACAAGAAATGCAGTTTCTGTGAACCTACTCAAGGCATCACAACCTTGACTTTGAGGCTGAAGGGCAGTTTCATCTACCTCATCCACCCTTTCCTCACAACAGCCCACCTCAGTGTACCCCACCATGTCCCACACCCTCAGGACAGTGGCCTTCAGGCAGCCCCTTGCCAACCAACATGCTCAGGTATCGCTGTAACCTATGGGATGCCCATGAAGATATGGACAAGCCAATTTTAAAAACCTTGCTTTCCTAAACACTCACAGGACTCATCAGTGACTTGTTTTGTAGCCCTCGTGTCCAGGGTCTCTAAAGTTCAAACGCACATGTGTAAACCCTGCTCACCACATTTAAAGGTCACAGGAGTGCAATTAAAACATTAAATAGCCTTGGGGGGGGGGGTCTGCATGCCCAGGCAGCTTACCTACGCCCCAGAAGAGCTGCAGTTTCCGAAGGCAGTGCCTGGAGTTTCCAGGGCCTGCAGCAAGAACCTGCAGAAGAAAGAAGTTTCCTCAGACTCCTGAAGAGACTCAGTCACGGCTCTGAGTGTGGACAGAGTCCTTGGCTATCCCAAGCTCCTTCCAGGGCCCCAGAAGGTCAGAGTCAGGTTCATCAACACTACCAAAGCATTATCTTATCTTTTCCGCTCTCCTCTCACAGTGTGAGATGGAGTTTGCCAGAGGTGGAGCAACACATGATAGTGCCAAAGGTTGACCTTGACCACAGAAGCAGGCCAGGAGACAGCCATCCGCTCCCAATCTCACTGTCCATTACCACTCTTGTTCTCAGAAGTTATTTTTGTAAAATGTTGTTTGTAACAGAAGGTAAAGGATTTACACTTGGTCTTCTAAATAGCCACCCTACTGTTTATTGTCATTTTAACAAATACTTTAAAAACATCTCAGTTCTGACTCTACTATAGAAAATATCAATAGGGATCAGTCATATTACCCAGTGCCCTTTGAGCTCCACAGTCATTTCTAAGTGTCACAGTGACGCCAAGACCAAAAAGAGCTATGCTCCATGTACTTGCTTTGGTTCTAAATCCTGTAAAACCATAACAGCAGCAGTCAGAATCATGTATGCAGTGCTATGTACTGGACACTCCAGTAAATGTGTATGTTATATCCCAATTTATGTCCACTGTGAAAGAAAAAAGAAAAAGAGTAAAAGAAATTAATCAAACAGCCATGATGAGGAAATCTGCACTCTAGGTAATTGAGTACTTGGCTGGGAATGCAGCTCAGTTGGTAGGGTGCCTGCCTAGCACACGTGCCGCCCTGGCTCAATCCTCTGCACCACCTAAACAAAGCATTGTGGTACACACCTGGGATCCCAGCACCCAGGAGATAAAAGACAGGAGGATCAGAGGATCAGGAGTTCAAGGTCACTCTTGGTGAACCTGAGGCCAGCCTGAGCTCCTTCAACTGTAAGCTTCTCCATACCTCATTTTTTTAAAGCAGCAGTTAAAAAATTTCTGTCAACTAAAGCTTCCTGAGCCCACATCCATGTGATGCTAGAGACTACAGATACAGCAGTGAAGAGACATGGCTCAGGAGGAACTCAGGAGCAGGGGCTTAAAGACAGTACAGCTCTGAAATCCTGCTCTGCTTCCTACAACAGTCAAGACAGACCCCAGTAAGTAGGGTGCCTGGGACAGTCCCCACCTGTATCTGCTGCCCCAACCTGGTTATTAACACTGCCCATTTCAATTTGGAATAAATTACAAGATCACTTATCCAGAAGGCTACAGTTTCAGGAAACTGAGCTTTCTCAATCTGTCTCCAGTTTTAGGAGGCCCTAAAACAGCTAATAAGTTAGTTAGCTACCCCCACCCCCACAACTGAACTTCTGAATATATTCAAGGAAATATGAGCAAATTCCCACTGTGTTTAACAACCACCATACCCAGCTCTGAGGCTCAAAATCAAAAGCACAGTATAGTGGGTGCCTCAAAAAATTATAGTCAGCCTTGCTATGGGATCCAGCAATCTCACTTCTGAATATATATTCCTCTTCCACCCCACCCCACCCCCGCCAAAGAACTGAAAGCAGGCTCCTCAGAGTATCTCTCTCTACCACGTTCACAGCAGCTCTGTTCCCAACAGCAAGAAGGTGAAACCAATCCAACTGTCCACTGGTGTATGAACAAAATATAGCACATTCATACAATGGAATATTATTCAGCCTTAAAGAGGAGGGAGATTCTGACGTCTGCTACATTATGGATGAAACTTGAAGTCATGGTAAGGTACAGGATTCACAAAAGATAAAGGCTGCTAGGGTTTCACGGACATACGGTTCCTAGGACACTCAAATTCAGACAGAAAGCAGAAGAACAGGTCTGGAAAATTAAAGACTGGCAGTTACTTTAACAGGTTCAGAGTTCCAGTTTTACATGATAACCACAAATGTATGGAAGTGACACTGCACAAATGTGAATTTTCTTGACGTCACTGAACTGCATGGTTTTAACAAAATAAAAACAAATCAAAAAACCAAAATATTTATAGAAATTTCCGGTCATCTCCTGGGAACTTGGCAAGTACTTAGGTAGGATCAAATCAGTGGACTTCTTATGGCGTGGTTTCAATCATTACTCACATATCAAGTACCAACAAGTGTTCACTCACCCATGCCTCCAGCAGAGCTGCCAATGACAAGTACCTGCCCACCCTCTCCTAGCTTTCTGCACTTGGAAGATGGTACTGCGTGCACGTCTCTGCCATTGGAGATGTGCAAAAAGGATGCTATAGGGAGCTCACTGAGCAGCAACCTGAAAGTCCCGTGGGAGACATCACAGCACTACAAAGGAAATGTGGGGTGCCAACACAGCTTGATCTTCCAGAATTAAAAAACAAAAATCCATACTGGAAGAATCAGTATTTTCCAAAGATTAAAATTCAATTTTCCCTGAGGAAGTCTCTGTTCTCACGGCCTCATCCTGATACACTATGAAACCCTTGGCATAACGTACAAAGTAAATTTTTAAAGTCCTGCTGCTTACAGTCTGTTTCATGCTTGCACTCTTGTGTTAATTCATTTTCTGGAGACTTATGCTAAGATCCCCTATACAGTGAACATTCTGGAAAAGTGCCTTTCCTTCCTCTGATGTAGCACACAACGTCTGACAACTGAAGCCCGGCTCTTTCAGCTGGCTGCTTTTGTTCATGAGCAGAAAAGGAAGTCACAAATTCTCCAAGTAGCAACAGGGGCTCCAGGCCTCACTCCACTTCCTCTGGCACAGGTGGCTAAATGAGGCAATGGCCATGTTTGCTTTAAAGGGGGAAAGTGAGTTTTCAGCAGAGCAGTCTTCTGAAGCAACAACCATGATCTGGGACACAGCAACAAGGGACAGGAAAGTCCCTGTTCCTTGGTATGTACTGAGACATGGTTTTATATACCTCACAAGAAGCGCTTCAGAAACCAGCAATGCAGGGAGACAGACAGGGCTGGCCCTTTGCTCCTACCAGCAAATTTCCCAATGAAGTGGGATTCTGAGAAAGTGCAGCCAGCATCGGTCCACTGAGAGGAACACAATTACTCCATCTGGCTGTTTCTCCAACTAGTAGGAAGATAGCCTTGCTGGTATTCAGGGAAGGGCTGAACCTAAGGCAGACTATGTTTGCTTTTGTCTTCTTTGTAACAGTGAAAATTCCTGGGACTGGAGCAGTGGCTCAGATGGTAAAAATGAAAATGCCTGCTATATAAACATGAAGATATGAGTTAGATCCCAAAAAACTATGGGGGGAAAAGGTGTCATGGTATGTACCTATAATCCCAGTACTGGAGGGGGGGGATCATCGGGGCCCTCAGCCTACACAGCCTACTTGAATTATGGAGTCCCAGGTCAGTGGAAGATCCAGTCTCAAAAAACAAGATGGACTAACATAAGGAAAGACACTCAAGGTTGACTTCTGCCTCCACATACATGTAGACATTCATGTATGCATATGCACATACATATACAAGAACACACATATATACACACAAAAATAAAAACAAAAGTTCCTAGTTAAATACTGAGACCTCCCAAAGTGACAAAGCCAGGTATGTCAATCCACGCCCTGTCCCTCTGCCCATGGCCCTTGGTAACTTTGGCAATCTGCACAAGGTCCTCTGTCTCCCGTTGCCATCCTATCCAGTCAGGCATGATCACCTCTTTTCATTCACCAATCTGAGATATGATAGTATGAAACAAATACAGAGCCCAGATTACCAGTTTGGGCCTAGCTCACCTAGCCCAGAACAAGTAGACCACAGCCCAGTCCCCATAAGTCCCTCAAACCCAATCCAGACCTCAAGAAACATGTGCACGCATACACAGTATCTTAAAGAGCTACACACACACACACAGCACATGCATACATGTCTTTACTATTTCCAATCTATTTAAAGGTCTACTTTCTAATGGGCGTCCGATGTAAGCCCAACTATAAGACATACTACACACCCAAGCAAACAATTGGCAGGACTTAAGAGTCTATTTCTGTGGTGAAGAGGGTCAGGACCCTGTGAAATTCCCAACATGGACAACACTGATACCAGGGGTGGTATAACATTATATATATTATATATATATGTATATATACACACACTATTACTCTGGTTCCTTTGAAGTTACTCAGCAAAGTACAAGAAACTAGACAGAGACCCTTTGAAGCTATTTTATATTCAATCAATATTTATGTAACACCTCTAGAATCCAAACCCAGTACTATAGGCTGTCTATACTAAGACACAATTCTTGGCACCAGAAATTTACTGCCTAATACAGGAAGCCAGGCTTTCCACAGAATAGACCCATGTCCTCAGATGGCACCAGAATCTTTAGTAGGCTACTTCGGGCACCAGAGAGGAAGAAGTCAAGTTTGACTTGGGAGAAGCCAGATGGAAAAGGAAATGTCTTGTACAGCAGGGACACCAGAACAGCAGAATTAAGGCAACTATGAGAGGGGCCCTGCATCCCTCCACCCTAAAACTCTATCGGGAAGGAACATACCTACCTAGTAAACTTTCTGTTACATCTGTCCCCCATCTCAACCTAGGATTACAAGGAAGCATCTGGGATTTGGATCCCCATCTCATAACTCACAGAGCATTCTCTCAGCCCTTACAGAACCTCAACTCACAGAGGACTCTCAGATAATCTTACTTCACAAAAGCACTCAGGTTTACAACCTCACCTCACAGCACTCTCTCAGCCCTAACCTCACTCACACAGACAGCACTCTCAGTCCTACATAGCATCCTTCGCGGCTTCAAAGGTTTTCACTATCCACAAACCTTCTCTACCATCTGTAGGAGAGAATACAGTTAAAGAAGATCTTCCTAGACAGCGAGTGTCTCTTTCTCCTTCTGTTCCTCTAGGATAGTATATCTTTGGCTAGAAGATTTTCAGTCTCCTATGTGATTTTTTAGACATGTCTGTTGGGTTCAACTGTGAGTTCTTAATAGGTAGATGCTGTAGGCATGATAGGGAATCAATAAA